TTAGATCAGTCAAATATTTGTAAAAATATATTTAGTCTCACATTTTAAGTACTTTACAGAAAAAACTGTTAAACAAATGTGAGTCTGTAAAAGAATGACTGCTATGTTTAAAACTCTGCAAAGGTTTCTGTGAAGGACTCGAGAGAATGTGTGTCGATATAAAACACAGATGAAGCTCCTGTAGTAAAGTTTCTCTTCTCTTTGTGTCATTAGTGTAAGATCAGGCTCACATGTGTCTGTGAAGAGTGACCGGTCCAAGGATGAAGCACCAAACTTCAGTGAGAAAAAAACATCTATCAAAAGGTATTTATTATCTTTGAAATTATAATGTTGTGTTGGCTTATTTCTCCACTAAGATGCTTGTGATAGAAATGAATGAAATAAATCAATAAATCACTGATTTCCTCTTTATTGAACTCAGTCTGGAGCTTCTTTCCAGTAACACAATTACACAAGCAGCCACAAGGAGGTATAAATTAACCATGAAAAATAGATCATGCAGCCAAACATGAATATGTCTTTCCATCTCTCCATAGTCATAGATGAACAAATGCATGTCTATACTGAGCTTAATTACCATCCTCAACAGTAAAGCTCTTTAAATGAGACTGAAGGAGCTCCTGTAGTAAAGTGTTTTGTTCTTTGTGTCATTAGTGTAAGATCAGGCTCACATGTGTCTGTGAAGAGTGACGAGTCAAAGGAAGAAGCACCAAACTTCAGTGAAGAAACAACACGAACCAAACGGTATTTGATGTGTTTCTTATTTTTCTTTAAAGATAGACTGTGTCAGAAAGTGTATCAGCGAATAATTATCATAAAACTTATAGTCCATAAATTTATCACAGTATTGATTTTCTCTTTGCTAAAAACGTTTACAAGATATTTTGGTCATATTTGTCTTAAAAATGCAGTATTTTGATTTATTTTATTTACTATCAGGCTTCAGTATGAAACATTAGATCCAGATTTACAGTCTCACAGGAACCACAAGAATTTTACAGACAGTCTCCTGCAGATCTTCCAGGTAATAAAACACATTTTCAGGAATATTTAATAATTATAATAAACAAATATGTTAATAAATAAAAGTGTGACAGAACTTTCATTTCTAATTTTTTCTTAAGAACCCATAAAATAAGAATGAAAACCTATTTTTATTCATATTTACCGCAAATTAACGTTCATCTCAACTTTATTTTTTATGAATATTTTAAATCACTGAATAAATAATTTTGACCAAATATAGATGATTTATTTTCTGTCATTCATTTTTGTCTTGCTTTGTAGGATCTTGAGAGCAAAATAATCACATTTCTGAAGAAAGAACTGGAAAAGTTTAAGAAAATATTACAAAAAGAAGACATGCAATACTTTGTGAAGGACTTTAATGAGAACAGATGCAGTAACAAAGAAGCAGCTCTTGATCTCACGCTCTGCTTCCTGAGAGAGATGAAGCAAGATGAAGCTGCTGATACTCTAGAAGGTAAGAGACTCGTGAGCATCTGTCAGACTGTCACTTATAAATGTAGGAGATTAAACAATATCTGTATTTGTGTTTCTGTTTAGATGAGCTGTTCTTCATTCATCAGCTAAAATGTAGCCTAAAGAAGAAGTATCAATGTGTGTTTGAAGGAATTGCAAAGCAAGGTGACTCTACACTTCTGAAGAACATCTACACAGATCTCTATATCACTCAGGGTTGTAGTGAACAGGTCAATACTGAACATGAGGTGAGACAGATTGAAGTTGCTTCCAGACGTCATGAATCACAGGAGATACAGGTTGAATGCACAAATGTGTTTGAAACACCTGAACAAGACAAGCAGATCAAAACTGTACTGACAAAAGGAGTTGCTGGCATCGGAAAATCAGTCTC